TATTGTTGACTGAGTACTTACTGGTCTGCACAGATGCATCCATCATTCCACATAACAAAGAGGATTCTTCGAGTAGATAGATGTCACTTATTTGCCACTCGTCATCACATCTAGCCGGCATCGGGTCGACTGAAATTCACCACAAGTCATACGAGTTTCTTGACTTGACTCGTCACTCGTCGTCTTCCCCTGATGTCTGCATCTTAAGGCATTCTAAGCAAAATATTCGACTGACGAACGGACATTATTCTAAGTGTGCAGAGTTGGCGAGGACCTCCAGCCAGTGTCATGAAGACACCACAGTCTGCGTGAAATGAAATCAGCATATATATATGTATATATAAACAAGGTGTAGGCTAGACGTGGAATATCGGGCTAAACAAGCAGATCAGTTGATAAGTTTGTTGACCGTCACCGACTAAATTGACAATGGTGTATGTTATGCATGGCGACCCAGTCATCACCACATAGCAAGCATCACTTCACTATCCCTCTGACTACTGACTAATGTAGATGGGCATTTCTGTGGGGGTCAGTCAGATGACTCAAAGCCTTGCTCAATAAAAACCACGGTGACAGCGCCAGCACAACCACAAGCACCAGGGTCACCGCCACCGCTACCGCCACCGCCAGCACCACAGCTACAGCTACAGCCACACAACACAACACCAACATCAAAAGACAACTAATCGATCACAGAAATCCACAGTTCACCTTAATCCAATACTGACAAATTTCCACATATGCTTAAATATTAATATTATTCTGTCTATTGACTCTAGTGCATTCACTGACGCAGTATTGCTCACGATGGCCAACCATGAATATGTGCATCCTAGTCAATTGATTCTCTGAGAAGAATGACAGGCTAAATGTGAAAATTATCCTGCAGGCTTACTGTCATCTCAATTTCCAGTGTGGCGCTAATCACAGACTGGAAGACGACTCAGTCTACCAGAGAGATATTGTTGACTGAGTACTTACTGGTCTGCACAGATGCATCCATCATTCCACATAACAAAGAGGATTCTTCGAGTAGATAGATGTCACTTATTTGCCACTCGTCATCACATCTAGCCGGCATCGGGTCGACTGAAATTCACCACAAGTCATACGAGCTTCTTGACTTGACTCGTCACTCGTCGTCTTCCCCTGATGTCTGCATCTTAAGGCATTCTAAGCAAAATATTCGACTGACGAACGGACATTATTCTAAGTGTGCAGAGTTGGCGAGGACCTCCAGCCAGTGTCATGAAGACACCACAGTCTGCGTGAAATGAAATCAGCATATATATATGTATATATAAACATGGTGTAGGCTAGACGTGGAATATCGGGCTAAACAAGCAGATCAGTTGATAAGTTTGTTGACCGTCACCGACTAAATTGACAATGGTGTATGTTATGCATGGCGACCCAGTCATCACCACATAGCAAGCATCACTTCACTATCCCTCTGACTACTGACTAATGTAGATGGGCATTTCTGTGGGGGTCAGTCAGATGACTCAAAGCCTTGCTCAATAAAAACCACGGTGACAGCGCCAGCACAACCACAAGCACCAGGGTCACCGCCACCGCTACCGCCACCGCCAGCACCACAGCTACAGCTACAGCCACACAACACAACACCAACATCAAAAGACAACTAATCGATCACAGAAATCCACAGTTCACCTTAATCCAATACTGACAAATTTCCACATATGCTTAAATATTAATATTATTCTGTCTATTGACTCTAGTGCATTCACTGACGCAGTATTGCTCACGATGGCCAACCATGAATATGTGCATCCTAGTCAATTGATTCTCTGAGAAGAATGACAGGCTAAATGTGAAAATTATCCTGCAGGCTTACTGTCATCTCAATTTCCAGTGTGGCGCTAATCACAGACTGGAAGACGACTCAGTCTACCAGAGAGATATTGTTGACTGAGTACTTACTGGTCTGCACAGATGCATCCATCATTCCACATAACAAAGAGGATTCTTCGAGTAGATAGATGTCACTTATTTGCCACTCGTCATCACATCTAGCCGGCATCGGGTCGACTGAAATTCACCACAAGTCATACGAGTTTCTTGACTTGACTCGTCACTCGTCGTCTTCCCCTGATGTCTGCATCTTAAGGCATTCTAAGCAAAATATTCGACTGACGAACGGACATTATTCTAAGTGTGCAGAGTTGGCGAGGACCTCCAGCCAGTGTCATGAAGACACCACAGTCTGCGTGAAATGAAATCAGCATATATATATGTATATATAAACATGGTGTAGGCTAGACGTGGAATATCGGGCTAAACAAGCAGATCAGTTGATAAGTTTGTTGACCGTCACCGACTAAATTGACAATGGTGTATGTTATGCATGGCGACCCAGTCATCACCACATAGCAAGCATCACTTCACTATCCCTCTGACTACTGACTAATGTAGATGGGCATTTCTGTGGGGGTCAGTCAGATGACTCAAAGCCTTGCTCAATAAAAACCACGGTGACAGCGCCAGCACAACCACAAGCACCAGGGTCACCGCCACCGCTACCGCCACCGCCAGCACCACAGCTACAGCTACAGCCACACAACACAACACCAACATCAAAAGACAACTAATCGATCACAGAAATCCACAGTTCACCTTAATCCAATACTGACAAATTTCCACATATGCTTAAATATTAATATTATTCTGTCTATTGACTCTAGTGCATTCACTGACGCAGTATTGCTCACGATGGCCAACCATGAATATGTGCATCCTAGTCAATTGATTCTCTGAGAAGAATGACAGGCTAAATGTGAAAATTATCCTGCAGGCTTACTGTCATCTCAATTTCCAGTGTGGCGCTAATCACAGACTGGAAGACGACTCAGTCTACCAGAGAGATATTGTTGACTGAGTACTTACTGGTCTGCACAGATGCATCCATCATTCCACATAACAAAGAGGATTCTTCGAGTAGATAGATGTCACTTATTTGCCACTCGTCATCACATCTAGCCGGCATCGGGTCGACTGAAATTCACCACAAGTCATACGAGCTTCTTGACTTGACTCGTCACTCGTCGTCTTCCCCTGATGTCTGCATCTTAAGGCATTCTAAGCAAAATATTCGACTGACGAACGGACATTATTCTAAGTGTGCAGAGTTGGCGAGGACCTCCAGCCAGTGTCATGAAGACACCACAGTCTGCGTGAAATGAAATCAGCATATATATATGTATATATAAACATGGTGTAGGCTAGACGTGGAATATCGGGCTAAACAAGCAGATCAGTTGATAAGTTTGTTGACCGTCACCGACTAAATTGACAATGGTGTATGTTATGCATGGCGACCCAGTCATCACCACATAGCAAGCATCACTTCACTATCCCTCTGACTACTGACTAATGTAGATGGGCATTTCTGTGGGGGTCAGTCAGATGACTCAAAGCCTTGCTCAATAAAAACCACGGTGACAGCGCCAGCACAACCACAAGCACCAGGGTCACCGCCACCGCTACCGCCACCGCCAGCACCACAGCTACAGCTACAGCCACACAACACAACACCAACATCAAAAGACAACTAATCGATCACAGAAATCCACAGTTCACCTTAATCCAATACTGACAAATTTCCACATATGCTTAAATATTAATATTATTCTGTCTATTGACTCTAGTGCATTCACTGACGCAGTATTGCTCACGATGGCCAACCATGAATATGTGCATCCTAGTCAATTGATTCTCTGAGAAGAATGACAGGCTAAATGTGAAAATTATCCTGCAGGCTTACTGTCATCTCAATTTCCAGTGTGGCGCTAATCACAGACTGGAAGACGACTCAGTCTACCAGAGAGATATTGTTGACTGAGTACTTACTGGTCTGCACAGATGCATCCATCATTCCACATAACAAAGAGGATTCTTCGAGTAGATAGATGTCACTTATTTGCCACTCGTCATCACATCTAGCCGGCATCGGGTCGACTGAAATTCACCACAAGTCATACGAGTTTCTTGACTTGACTCGTCACTCGTCGTCTTCCCCTGATGTCTGCATCTTAAGGCATTCTAAGCAAAATATTCGACTGACGAACGGACATTATTCTAAGTGTGCAGAGTTGGCGAGGACCTCCAGCCAGTGTCATGAAGACACCACAGTCTGCGTGAAATGAAATCAGCATATATATATGTATATATAAACAAGGTGTAGGCTAGACGTGGAATATCGGGCTAAACAGGCAGATCAGTTGATAAGTTTGTTGACCGTCACCGACTAAATTGACAATGGTGTATGTTATGCATGGCGACCCAGTCATCACCACATAGCAAGCATCACTTCACTATCCCTCTGACTACTGACTAATGTAGATGGGCATTTCTGTGGGGGTCAGTCAGATGACTCAAAGCCTTGCTCAATAAAAACCACGGTGACAGCGCCAGCACAACCACAAGCACCAGGGTCACCGCCACCGCTACCGCCACCGCCAGCACCACAGCTACAGCTACAGCCACACAACACAACACCAACATCAAAAGACAACTAATCGATCACAGAAATCCACAGTTCACCTTAATCCAATACTGACAAATTTCCACATATGCTTAAATATTAATATTATTCTGTCTATTGACTTTAGTGTGTTCTTCGTTTCGTTGTGATGTTTGAAGAATTCCGGCATAGAGCGTATTCTGGTTTTTCAATGTTCCAAATGGTTTAATGGGAGTGAATATGGAATTTAGAAAGTGAAGTTTAGATGAAGTTTTTATTTTAGTGATACGTTTTGAAAATCTTTACATTTGTGCTTGTAGAAAATGTATATAGTTTCAAAAAGTGAAATGTCGTAAGTATATTTCAGTTTAAATTATCACGGAATACGAAATAACGGTTGGGATAACAGATTTTCAATTTTTGGATGTTTACAAAACATGCCGACACGTTAATTCAAATCGTCGACTTTATGCGCATATATTCAGTAAGGGAAAAGCTGCCATCCAGATTATGGTCACCATTTTTGCAGACGACTGCATATGAAAACTGCGATTTCATGAATTAAAAGGCTGAAAGGTGTGAGAGAACTGATCAGCCAGAAAAGTCCACCAACAAATACCCAGGCTCTGCTAAAATTATAAAAAGATTTGTTCACATAAAAACCTGTACACTTGTTAGTATACGTATGAATACATGTCAATTTATATGTGCCACTTACATGAGAGGTAACATATTCAGTGTCCAATCACCTATTGTAGTTATGGCTGATGGGTTATTGGGAAGAACCAGTTTCGTCCTAGTCACGTCTACAAAATCACTTATGTCACACATAATTCTTGGGAAATGTCTGTGGAAACACTTCAATGGAATGATTTTCGTGTCATTTGTAATGCTGCATTATCACCACCATATATTATAATGTGATGTAGTCTTTCTGTTTATGAAAATACCCTATTTTGTGCACTTTCTAACTAAGTATGCAAACAGACTACCTCACTGAATTTTATATTTTCCCGTCGATCGATTGGCCCGAAGTGCTCTATCTCAAGCTGACATATCGGCTCCTTGTGCAGATGCTTCGACGATGTCTGGGCATGTAACTAGAACTTCATTGGTGGATGGTGATTAGCAGTGGAATCCAGGACGCGCATTTCGTCCTATTTGGGCTCTCGTGGCCCAAGTGGTCCAGTGAATAACGCTTTGGCGTTTAAAACTATGAGCACTGGGTCCGAACCTCCGTGGGAATACCATCACTCACTGCGGAATGCAGCTAAACCCAGATGACGGGTCCCAAATAGGACGAAATGCAAATCCTGGATTCCGCAGCTAGACATCATCCACCAATGAAACTGCTCCATCGTTTAAAATTAACGACTTAATAATCGCAGTATAGCTGCTCACAGTATCCAACTACGAATATATCCAAACCTAGTTTATTCTCTGATAAAAATAATGGGTAAAGTGCGTATCTTATGCTTCAGGATTACTTCGAAACTTGGTTAAAAAGGCGTTTGCATGCTTAAGGAATGGCTTACCTGTAGGCATCATAAATATATGAGCAATCGTTTGGAAGCAGAAACCAGTCGAAGTATACTTTCGGTGTGCACACAGAAGTTAGTGCTAAATTCATAGTATAAAATGTGAAGATGATATATGTAATGAACAGAAGTATTGACCATGGTCGATTATTCTTATTCACGAAAATATTCATCGAAGGGAAGTACCAATCTTCTTCACAGTCCTGTTTCTGGTAGGAATGAAAGTAATGAATAATTGATAATTCAAGGATATATTTCAGTAGACTATTAGCTAATGCAATGGAAAGTTATTTTAACAGAGTCAGCGGTTTTTGACGTAAAGTATCCATGAAATACATGTCAGTCATCGACATGCAAAGAGCAACAGGAATATCCGGGCGCTTTTTGGCATAATGACTGAAGATTGTAATCTACTATTTTGGAGACATTTACTGATATATATATATATATATATATATATATTATCCTGACACCATGTCTCTTTGCAGTCGACAAAATTACTATTCGTGTTGAAGTTTTTTTTCAATTTTAATTTCAACTATGTAGTGCATTCGAAAGTAAGGTCTATGTGACTGTAATTACTTAATTCAACTTATTACAAAAAAGAATGTATATGTTCACTTCTACCATTATTAAATCACCCCCCCCCGCATGAGGCACTTTAGAAAGTACGATACATTTTCTCATTAGATTAACCTTTGACCTGTAATGTGATAAACACAACAGGGTTAATTCATTATTTAGGCATTTGATCTCCGCATACAATTATTCGAAGGTTGGAGTTATTTAGAACTTAGGCTCATGATATGATTTCTATGTGAAAAGGCATCACTTGGGCACTGTATTTTTCCCCGTTTAACATATTTGACTGGCTGTGAGGTCAACTATTTAGGTAAAAGTAGTTGTGAGTCAGAATATCTTAACACAAAAAATTTAGCACAACGTAGTCCCTAAAATGTTGGTGACTTAGTAAGAAGCTTAAGGTGGGGTATGGAGATAAGGCGGCAGCTATGAGGTTTTAGAAAAGTTGAAGTTACTCAATTGATTTTTGAATCTTTGCGATCGGAGTTATTCAGCACTCACTGCAGATGTCTGAGAAATTCTGTTACCACTAAAAATGAACGATTGAAACACTAGAAGAACTATAAAAATAGACTCTGAAAGTTATACACCTACTTCAACATGAATATGAGCAATGGAATCGCTCTCGGAACACTGAACAGTGAATAATCCTTAACAAGGAGGGGTGTGCTATTCTAAATCAACAAACTATGATGGAATCCTATCAGTGATGTAAGAATAAAACTTGGGGATTACAACAAACTTGTGAGAATGAGATAATCAAAATATTAATTGGAAGGAACTTTTCACAAATAATATAAATATATCATAAAGCATGCTACACCTATTAAACTAATTAAAAGGTAAACAGATCTGTAACAAGTGACAAATATCGAATACACTTCAGCTTCACGACTGATTCCGTCAGCAACTGGTCATAGGGACTAATGAAACCCATGGAAAATTCCCATTGTAACATATAGAAAATCAAAACAAGTGATTCAGCTTGGAATTCAAAGGGGACTTAGCTTCCGATATCATGAAACGAAGGATATCGCAGTCCCTGAAAACAACATTCCTTGCTACATCTGTGAGAATATCCTTTACTAGCCGACCATTACTGTTCATTAACCTGAAGGACAAGATCCCGCTGTTGACCAACTCTGTGTGCGTTTATCAATTCACCTGCTCTTGTGGAGCTAGGTATATCGGTCGTTCGACTCGAGTTTTGTCCAAGAGGGTGCAAGAACACTATCCTGCATGGCTACGAAAAGGTGGAAGTGGAGCAATAAGAAGCGCGATCATTGAACATCTGGTCGATAATGACCACTCGATCTCTATAGCCTCCGCCTTTAAAGTCATCTACAAGGCAAAGAGTAATTTACCTAAATCCCTACGTATCAGACTCGTCTGTATTGCTGAAGCTTTGGCTATCGAAACAGAAAAGCCAGATCTCTGTGTACAGAAAAAGTTCGTTCAACCCCTCCAACTTTCATGGTCTTAATCCCTCTATGCTAAAGTATGGTAATCCCTAATCATATTTTAGCTCTACCAATTTTTCATTTTTTCATTTTGTCTATTCAATTTGTATACTCTTCCTTATTACGTCAATTGTTATTATTACTATTCTCAATTTGAACTGTCCCCGGTATTATTTCACTTGTTCCACTTGTCATTCTAAATCAATTCTTCTATTTTACAACGATAAATTCTATGCCATTAAATTTCACACAATATTAAGTAACGTTTTTGTTTTATTCGATTTGTCTACTAATTTTATAACTGCACACCCTTTTTCAAGTTCTACCCATCCTATGAATTATTCTATATATGACATTAATTTGCTCTGCCACTCGACATTTAACTATGAGTATAATTGTTTTTTTTTGCATTTCTGTTTTTTAATTGCATTTCATACTATTATTATTATTAATATTAACATTTTATGCATTCACACCTAAGATTCAATTCCCTAACTGGAAATAACTTCTTATAAACCATATATATACGACTGTACAGCTTGATGATAAATTCGTTGAAAAGACTCTCTTCGCTGAATCACTTGTTTTGATTTACTAATGAAACTATCAAAACAGAGAATTATTCAATGCATTGAATCACTTCACCAAGCACTAGAAACCGAAAAGTTGAAACAGACCATTTAAATCTGAAGTGAAGTAAACATCGACATCGCATGTATATGTCTTAAATGCGGCATACACATACCACACAAAAATTGTCACTGAAGACTACTGTCCAATTTGACGAGGGGTGGACAGTGACAACTAACAAAAAAGTAGCAGAGTAATTTCGTAGGAACAGTGAATATAACTCGCCAGGTGGAAGGACTGTATGCTAAGAAAAAATCAGATGACTATAGGATACTGGTAGAAAAGAGCAAAAAGGCAACGAATACGGACACCATATATGACATTCGGAAGTTTTCAGTGATATAAAAAGCGTGTGTGCGGTCGATAATCTCCGGTGGCACAAACAGTAGAGGTGGACAGCTAAAAAAATGAAGGTCAGTTCAGTATGACTTTAAGTTGAAATGAGAACCTGCCTGAACTTAGTCAAAAAGATCGCATTACGTGATTTAACGGCCCATATTGCTAATGACAGATTAGAGACTAAGTGGGTTTCAACATGGAACTTTGTACAAGAGTGAAGAAGTTCAAGGTTCCCTACTCCATGCAGCATACAAAGGTAGAGAATAAAACGGAAATTCAAAAGAACCATAATGAGCAAAAATGTGCAAGAGGAAGAAGTTTTGAGACAGGAGGCAATGTCAGAATGAGTAGCACCTAGCCACAGATAGTTACTTGAGTTACTTACTACCTTTTTTACCCAGTAATACATAACATTGAAAATCTTAGGTATTAAACAACTTGCTAACATGTTCAGTATATTACTGATTAAAATATCGGCGACCGGTTTAGCAGAATAACCGTTCAACTTTCCGCTATTAGTGGAACGGAAATGAAACAGTCCTCCATAGGTACATGAATGACCTTTTACAAATACAACATCACGATTAATACTATTTCTAGTTCAGTATCAACTGTTTCGTATCTTTTTAAGTAGAAGTTAATCCATGTTATTGAGCCACATATTCAATTACTCAAAGGTAATCTTATGATTATCTCCAAAAGACTTTAAAGCTATCGTTGCTCTAACCTGTACGTTTCTGAGTATAATTAATTAGTTCACTGTAAAATATATTTATGTTCATACTTATTTATTTGCGTTCCGAGTAGAACATAGGGCTTGAGCCATGAGCTTTGAACTTTTAGTAGCAGTATTGTTTTATTCTTACGGGGTGGTGCTGCTGGTCTCACACCCAACCTCCTCTCTTTATCGAGCTTACAAACACCTGAGGGAGGTAAAGATGTGCGCCAGCTGGGAATCGAACCCTGGACAACATGCCTGGTCGGCGAACATACTACCTCTGAACCACCATAGACACACTGAAATATATTACTTAAGTTGAATTCAATAAAGGACAAAATTTTCACCGTAATAAATAAAATAACAAAAGAAGTATCACTCACATTAGCATCACAAAATAAAGAGATGGTATGTTTCCACAAACCAAATATCGTAAGTTGTTTTTTGTTTTTTGTAAGATAATTTCCAAAGGTTTGAGAACCTACAAATAAACATCCCGATGAATGTGGAATTCTAGTAACATAAAAAATCAAATCAATATGGACGGCTAACATCGAGTACAGTAGTAGTGAATCAGTAACTCGCCGGATGGTTCAGGGGAACGGGTGGGAGAAGACAAATCATTAGTGAAACAATCTCGGAAAAAAATGGCACTATAATTAGCTCCCAGGATAGACGACTGGATCGCTGGAAAGAACATTTTGAGGAACAGTTTAATTGGCCCACAGCCACGCTCAAACTGCCGAACATCCAACACCTCCCTGAATGGGATAGAGACACAGGTCCTCCATCCCTAACTGAGGTTACTAAAGCTGTCACCAATCTGAAACTAGGCAAAGCAGCGGGACCTGATGGAATGACGCCAAAGGTATTTAAGTACGGTGGAGACAGTTTACTGTCTGCATTAACTGAGGTACTAGGCAGCGTCTGGGAATCAGAAGAAGTCCCATCGGGTTGGTGTAAGTCACTGATTATCCCTATATACAAGAAGGGAGACAAGTCTTCCTGTGATAATCACAGAGGGATTAGCTTGACTAATATAGTATCTAAAGTCTTAGGCTCAATAATCATGCGTAGACTGAGTGGTGCTCGAAAGGCACAAACACGAAAGAGCCAGGCAGGCTTTAGACCAGGAAGAGGGTGTATTGATCATATCTTCACCCTCCGACAGATTCTAGAACATAGGCATTCCTACCGGCGTTCAACAGTCATTATATTTCTTGACCTAAAGGCAGCATTCGACTCTGTCGATCGAGAAGTTCTCTGGAGATGCTTGGCTGTAAAGGGAATCCCGAGAAAATATATTGCACTGATTAAGGCACTCTACTCGTACTCATACAGCCAGGTGAGGGCTTACGGCGAGCTGTCATCTGAACTGATGACGACCAGTGGTGTCCGTCAAGGATGCCCATTATCCCTTTTCTATTCAACTTCATCATAGATGTGTTAATGGACTTAACCCTAAGTGACTTCAGCGACT